GCTCCCCACCGCCTCGCCCTGCGCCGAGGCCGGGACGAAGCTGCCGGTGTTGTACGCGCCCTTGTTCGTCGCGGCGTCGCCGTGGTTCAGCAGCACCTCCATCCCCGGGCTCTGGGAGAGCATCAGCCCCATATTCAGCTCCCGCTCCGTCGCGTGGGGCTGAAAGGCGGTCGAGCGCGAGAGCCAGGGCGGCCCCCCGGCCTCTACGCCGGCCTCCTCCTCGGCTGCTCCCCCTCCCAACTCCCTCGCCTCCGCCGTGATCTCGCGGCGGCGCTTGGCCTCCATTAAGATGTTGTACGCGACGAAGGCGGGGCCGTAGCCGCGCTGCAGCTCCCGCCGCACGTCCGTCTCGCGGAGGCCGAGCTTCTTCGCCGTCTCGCTGGCCAGGACGGAGTGGATGCGGTCCTCCTGCACGGTGAACATCGCGTCGTGGTAGGCCAGGTGGGCCGGCAGCCGCTGGTTGAACCACCCGTTGTCCCGGATCTGCGGGATTGTTAGGCGGACCAGGGGGTCCACTACCAGGATCTGCTGAATCAGCTCCCGCGGACCCCGCGGCATGTCAGGCGGGATCACGTACTTCCCTTTCTTGATCTTGCCAAACAAGAGCGGGATGTTCTCCTCGTCGAACGGGAGACAGCCGCAGAGCAGGGCGTAGAGAATCACCCCGCAGGACCAGACATCCACCTCGGGGCCAAAGTACAACTTCCCGGAGATCACCTCGGGCGCGGCGTAGTTCGGGGAGCCGCACGATGTCGTCAGAAATTCGCCGTCCCGCATGATATTGGACAATCCGAAGTCAATGAGCTTCACCTGCAGCCCAGGGCCGAGAAGAATGTTCTCCGGTTTCAAATCACGGTGCACGACACGAAAATGATGACAATACTCAATGGCGCAGACAATCTGCTGGAAGATATGGCGCGCCTCCGCCTCGCTGACTTTCTCCCTCTGAACAATATAATCGTATAACTCGCCTCCCTCTAGATACTCTACAATTAGATATATATCGGTTGGGGTGTAGATTACCTCGTAAAGCCGGCAAATGTTGGGGTGTGAAAAAAGCCGCAAGATTTCAATTTCGCGGTAAATTTTCTTACCCATATTCGCCTTCTTTAGCTTCTGACGGTTAAGAATTTTTATAGCAACCGGCTCACCAGTGCGCATATGGCAACCTTTCTTAACTTTCCCAAAACTTCCTCGTCCAACGGTATCCCCAATACAATACGCCCCGATCATCTGCATTGGTTGTGTGAAAGGTGTCTTTGAAGAACGTGGACCGTTTGTGGACTCAGTGGAGGAAAACACGTGAGAATGGGTCGCCATGAGCTGCTTCTAGAAGACCTTATTAACTTATTAGATTTATGTTTTCGTATTAAGATTATACCAGTAAAGTAGTGATTCAGGACTTTTTCTGCTTCTTCTTTTTTAGTTTGAGGGAATCCAACTATCTTTGACCTAGTGTAAGGGCTCTTTATCACGCCCCCCTCCAATAAAAAAAAAAAGACTTAAAACTAAATGTAACAGTTCAATACTCAAAATCTATGATGTTTATTTATTTAATTTGTAATCGTGTCCCCTCTAGTCAAATAAAGGATCCACACACTAAAAAATGATAAAAAATGATACGCCAACGTACCACGTGTACAAGATTCGTCCCAGAAGGGCGAATGCAAAACCAACCTTAAAATAAAAAAGTAAATGTAATAGAAAAACACAGATAAATAAGGAATGGAGTTTAAAAGTGAGTGTCGCGCATTTTCATGTGTAATGGACTTTGGAGGCCTTAATAATGAACTCCTCAAATAGAATCGAATTCATAACTTTTCACATTTTTATAAAGAAACCGATGCCCAAACACACATGCTCAAGATATCAAAATTACTACATATAAAATTAATGGAATGACAATCTACTATATCCTACCCGGTAAGTAAATCCCTTGTAATGTTAAAAATCTATGTAGTCTAATGATATGTTTAAATAACAGCTGATCTAATGAAAGTTTGGCTAAGTATATATATATATACATAACTTTCATTAGTGTGATTGGAATAGTATGAAGCTCAGCTCAACCTTAACACGATATCCTTTAGAAAAGTACTGTATTTAGTTTTAGCAACTTCTCAGGTTTCTCATAGCGTCTTAACTGCATCGACGTCATCCTTTTTTTCATCACGAAGTAGTGTGCAGTGAGGGTCAACACAATTCTCAAGCAAGTGAGGGATTAAGTCATAGATGGGGCTTTCAAGCCATCCATATACTTCACCTTTTCTTAATAACGATAAGACACGTGTTGGCATGAAAAGCTTACCAAGTACGCTCAGCACCACAAGAAAGTCCGCGAGCACGGACGATAGTGAAAGCGGAATCGATTCAATCGACAACTCTACCGTGGTGGAGGGTTTTTCGTAAGGAATATCGTTAAAATTGCTGTTATTCATATCGTTTCCAATCTTGGGTATGCTCGCCACAGGCGATGCGGAATTTTTGAGGGTCATGGTGATGATGGGATCAGACAGCACCATCCCACCAATGTACTGACGGCGGAACAGCGCCCAGTGAGAGATCTGAAAGAAGGGCATATAAAGAAGAAGATGTGAAACCCCAATTAAGCCTTCCTGAATGAACCAAATGGATGTCCGGACGAAGGCAAAATAAAGATAATAAACGGCAACGGTTGGGAATAGAAAAAAAGTGATGGTAAACAGAAATGTCGCAATCAACATCTGTTCGACTGAGAACTCGTAGGCGTCGGTGCGGTTGCGAAGTTTGTTGTACTTCTTTCCGCGAAATTGGTTGAACAAACTTACAAATAACTCCTTGGCAAATCGATAAACTAAGGCCATGGACTGGTATAGGAAGTGAAGGTGCAGCGTGACGATCCCAATCACATCAGCCAGGATCGCTAAGGCCGTGCTTGCGCCCATAGGTGAAATATAAAGCATAAGGACGTAAACGTAGGTGATCCAGGCGTAGGTCTTTTCACCCTCCATGCTGGGCTCACTCACAGACGTGAAGCAGAGGAAACGATCCCAAGTGGTAAGCACCATCTTTGCAAAGAACCCCAACGACGCATTGAAGTCTTCGTTCATTTTAAGACCAGCCGGCCAACCCTCAAACCAATCCATATAGGACATGTGTAGGTTAAACAGAAAATACCTCGAGATATGCTGCATCATGAAATGCGTATTCGATATGTAGATGACCAAAAAAGCGATTGAAATACCCAGCACAAGATCTGTCAAATAGCGACCGAGGTAGTTCAAGAAGCAAATGTGTTGTTGGTTCCCATTACGCGCCACCTGGTGCGGAAGAACGGGATGAAGTCCACATGAGGTGGTTTGACCGTCTAAAAGGGAAACAAAATTGACAAACTCGCGAAGTCGTAGCTCCATGACCTTCACAAACCACGAAAATCGACTGAAAGGCTTAAACCACCGGAGCATAATGAGGGTTCCGTACATTAGAAATTCTAGGAGATGGTGAACATAAGGCCATAGATATGTAATAGAAGCATTAGGTGAGGCTTGCGTGAACTCTACTTTGCCTCCTATCGGGGTCGCATTATACCTTTTTATCGGACTAACGGGGATACCAATCAGAGCGACCCTTTTCATAACACCAATGAGCCGCAAGAACTGCGAGGGCTTGGGGCTTTCCACATCGAGAGCCACCCCACAGCCCCGCGCATTCAACCCTGAGATGTCTATCGGCTCATGCACAACACGCACCGGGTCCTTCCCGAGAAGAACGCGCTGGACGTTGCCGCCGAGGCAGCACATCGACAAGGCCACGACAATCTCGGAGAAATCAACGCTGGTGGGGAAATCTAATCGCGGCGGCACCCCCACAAGCGGCTCCGCGGCCGATCCATCGCTGATCGAGCCATTATACGCCCTGTCGTTGTCGTAGTGGGTTTGCCGCGAGGCGCTCATCCGCTTGTTCTCGCCATCCTCGCTGTTGAGTTCTCCACACGTGGGCCGCCCGGTCGCGCTTTCCAGCCCCCGCTGCGGCGTCCAATGCCGCATCCCCGACAAACTGCACTGCGAGAGATCCTCCAAAGGGGTGAGGGCAAACGCTAAATTATACCAATTCGGCATCGGCTCCATCGCATGGCTCCGTACCCTATTTTCGACGTTGGGAGCGCTCTCCCCCATCATCACCTCGGGCAGGAGCACCCCTTCCATATTACACTGCATGTTGGGCAAACAAACGGGCCGCTGACCACAAAGCAGCCGCCGAACGCCGGACGGGCCGTAAAGCGCGCACGCGCTAAACACCGTCGGCTTCAGGGAATACCGCTTAAAAGGATCACAGCGAATGATATGCAATTGGCAGGGCTGGACGCGATACCCACAACACCAAATCTCGCCAAGGATCGGACCTTCGAGAAGCTCCAGCCATAAATCATTGCGGCGCTGCGTAAGGCGGGCAATATTTTCGTGCTGGTTCGAAAACGCATTCATGATAGGGGAAAGGCCCGTATTCGCCACGTTAACACCAGTCATGCCATTTCTACCCTGGTTGTGGTTAATGAAGGGTCGGACGTAGCCTAAAATCTGAAGATTCCCGTATTGGGGCATGCCATTGTGAGCTCGGTAAACCTCCAGGACCTTTCGGGTTTCCTCCAGCTTCGTCATCGCATTTTCCATCGACTGCTCACGTATAAACCCAGTCACGATGACCGAAAGCCCGTGGGGGTTCCATCCCACAATCCAAGAACCGCCCTTGGTCGTGCTTGAATCAAGCCTCCCATCCTCTTTCCTCATTACAGGCCACATAATTGTGCATAGATCCGATAACCCGGACATCGCCGCTCAATATTCCAGACAAATGCGCGCTTTGAGGTATACTTGTTGTCGAGGAGATCCCGCTAGTAGTAATACAGTTCTATTATAGGCTAACTTTGATGTAATATCGCAAATCGCAATTGCTCCGTTTCTCACTTTTGCTTGATTGCTATGTGAAACATACAGCTGTCGAAAATGAGGCAAGCAGAAAAGATAAGGTGCTAACTTATTAATAAGCCTTGACAAAGAAAAGGAATCAAAATCATATCAAATGCAAACAAATCAAAACAATGTAAATAACAAAAGTCTAGTTGAAATAAATCCACAGTCTGAACTTTCCCTTTTTTCATTAACCATTCCCTCCTAAAGTTTCCGCCTTGGATGATGATGGATTTGCTCTTAAGCCCCATAATTTTTAACCTTGGCATTCACTTCCTCAGCTTTTTAGTCAAAATGGAAGAATCGCCCTAAGAGGGCCCATCTGGGAAACCCAAAGGATCGGAAGCTACCTTTCTCATTGAAACCCTCAAATTGGACCCCTGTTGTTGTAAATCTATCAGTCCCAACATCAGTGGTGGCATATTTGCCCCAATAATACCCATCTCGTGTATAAAAATATGCCCTCATCCACACTAGTCTCCTCATTTTTTGTTCAAATTGTGTGTTGTCGTGATAGAAATGTGTTGGCATCTCAAAAGTGGCTACATTACCGTTCCCAATTGGACACTCTTCGTGAGATGAAATGCAGTAGACCAGGTTAGTTTTCGGCGAAGACATCTATTCTACCTCTGGGCAAGAATGCACAGCATCACCCATGTCTGGGAAAACGTCAGGGGTAGCTTGAAGGTCCGTTTTTGCCATGGAGGCTTCCTTTTCCTCTTGCAAACGCTGGAGTTTCACCCTCAGCTCATCGACGCGAGCTCGCAATGGATTTCTTTGGTGCACCAAAATCTCCTCAAATGCTTTGTCCAATTGAGAAGCTTTCTCTCTCTTAAGAAGCTGCTGCTTACGACTCTGCTGTACGGCTGTAATATCATGCTTTAGCTGATTCTGAACTTTCTTAGCCTCCTCAAGCGCATCGGGGATTTCTTCCATTGTGAATTGCTCGTACCACTCGAGCTCTTCACGGCTAGAAGCATACTCTCGCAGATTAGTTGTCCAAGATTCCTTCTGGCAGTCAACTTTTCTATTGTAAAGAGTTCTAAATTCTTCTTGAAGCGACCTTGTGCCTATAGGAAGTGCTGGAATACTTAGCTCGTCGTTATATTCGCCTTCAACCGGTGGACAGGAAGGAAGCTGTATTCCATTCGACTCTAGACGGCCCAATAATTGGGGTATTCCCTCACCAGAAGATAAAAACGCCGCGGAGTGCATACCAGCGACGGTGGTGAGTCGACGGAGATCGGATAAATACTGGATACGCAAAATAAAGGAAAGATTTACACGACAATAAAGATGCGGTTGGTGAACCTCGTTCTGAAGCCGCTCCAGACAAGCGTTAGCTTCCGCCTGCAGTGCTTCCAGCCGCTGACGATGCGTTTCTAGAACGCGTTCTTGGAGATCAGTCAGGGAGGAGGAGGAAAACGAGGTAAAGTTAAGGTTTTCTTCATCCCCGCTAGGGTCGTCTTGCGAAGAAAAGCCATAGCCGCATCGCGTGAGCAGCGCGTTCACAAGAGATTCCGCCTTTTCCGGATCAGTTGCGAACCTATAGATCATACGCACGTTACCTATGGATTGAATGAGTCTAACATTTGCAGCGAGCAGGGATGATAAGGACTGCTGATGGGATTCCACCTGTTCATGAAGCAGAAGGAGCTGCATTGATTGATTCAGATCAGGAGATCCGCAGGTGCACGGCATGGAATCCCTTTCTGATGAAACGATACTTCCGTCAGGGTTACTAAAAGCTGGTGGTAAGGATCCACTCGCCACACCATTACCCTCGGGCGATGAGGAAAAAAAAAGCGCCTCCAACTTCTTGTGGTATTCGGACAAAAGAAGTCCTCCAATAATACCTAAGGTTTCATTAACCGGTACATGATTGTCTTGAGACTCAGACCTTGTTGAGTCATTTAGTGCATGCTGCCAATAACGTAAATCCCCCATCTCCCTTAGTTTTCTCCGAAGAAACATAACTTCTAACGTAAGATTCTCATGAAGCTTTTCAAGCCTTGCTTCCTCTTTCTCAGCCTCATCCGCGGCAGCCGCCGCGTTCGACATATTGATTGACTTGGGATCCTTGCATTCCAACTCCATCGCGTGGGCGACAATCAAGGTTGTGAGCGCAGTCTGCAGTTCCTTCAGGTACCATTTCAGCCGCTTATTTCGCGTAATAGGCGGCCGGGTTGTTAAGGCTGCTGAGATGCTTAAGTACTTTTGGTCATCCCACAGCATCGCCTGTGAGGCCATCAAACCCCACTCCTGAGTGGGCAAAAAAAGAACATCTAGTTCCTGTTTAATTGCGGCATCCTTCACGGCCTGACGGCTACAGAACTCATAAAGCTCATTCCTGCATGTGGAAAGACATGATAGCTCCTCTAACAGTCCACGAAGTGCCTCCTGACGCTCGAGTGAGCTGCACTGCAAATGCTGAAAGGCGTACACAAAAGATTTCAGAACATGAAAATGTTCATCCTTTGCGAGAACGGCTCTTGTATCATTGTCGGATTGCGTCCGCAGACCGCGTTGTGGCTCAGCTGAAATATGCGCCGGTTGGTAAGACCCTTTTATAGATTGTAAGAGCCTTGTCGAAAGTTTTTTCACCCTTACCAGCGAATCTGTTCCATTTTCTGATGAACAGAGCGCAAGATCATGAAGCAAATGGTGACACTTTAACGCCTGAGCCTGCTGAAACTTGTACTTTTCAGTCAAATTGACCAGAGATAGGAGAGTAGCCACTACTCTAGCGTCATGAGCCGCCGCACAGAAAACAGGGCAGAATGGTTTGTGAAACCCAACAAGACCATCAGAAAGAGTATTAATCATAGGCAATGTCAATGCCCTCTCCGTGTGCGACAGCTGTCTTTGTTGAAGATCCTGAAACTTTTCTACACATCTCAATTTTTCCTCCAGGTAGCGCTCAAGCGTTTCCGTCTCCCTCTCCGCCATGCGACGCTCAAAATGATTGTGTGTGAGCATGCCACTCAACTCGCTCTTCAGCTCCGCCACCTGCAGTAAAAGCGCGCAGTACTCGTCATCCTCCTCCCCCATCTCATCGCTCACTTTTCCAGATCCAGACCCCTCCTCGGTCCTTTCCTCATCATCTGCCAGGGCGTAGCAACACGTCGTCAGGCTGGTAAGAGGGACAGCCTCAGGAAAGGGGCGTTCATCCACCAAACTCCCGAAAGTCCCGGGATCGATCGCGGCATCGCCGCTCTCGTGCCCTTGACCTGAATAACCCTCCTCTTGCAGTGCCACCTCGGGGCTCCTCTTCGTAGCATCCAAGGAAGGGGGCTCCTCTGTCTCTAGGCGAAGCCGTGTGAGGGGGCTTCCTTCTTCCCCTTCCCCCTCCTCCTCCTC